CTTTATTCATTGGTATAACTTAACAAATCTTTGATGAAATTGTGTTGTAGAAGTCTGAGATGTGCTCAGACTTCTACAACACAATTGTTTTCTAGGATTGTTTTCTAGGATTGTTTTCTAGGATTGTTTTCTAGGATTGTTTTCCAGGATTATCCAGAAGGTTTCTTACTGGGGGGAAATAAGAAAATGGAGAAGTTGATCAAAGAAGATGGAAGACATTCACGGTTGGCATTCTTCAGCTTCCTGGTAGTCACATTAGTCTTGGTGTCTCCGGCACCACACACACCATCACTATACATGTTGTGTGATACAAGATGGGTGTCTATTAACAGTCCAATTATATATAATAATAATCTTTATTTTTCCATGTACATGATACAACTTATACAGACCATAGCTAACATCAGTGACTTACTACATAGAAAGTCCGTTGTTTTGCAAAGCATTTCGGGGAAATTAGGTTAAGCTTTTAGTCCTCAGGATGCGACCCACACCAGTCAACTAACACCCGGGTACCTACTTGCTGCTAGGCAAACAGGGACAACAGGTGTCTTAAGTAAACACACCCTAATATTTTCACCCGTACCGGGGATCGAACCAAGGACCTAACTGTGTGAGCTAAGTGCGCTACTAATCGAGTTACGGGATGCCTGGCAGTGTAAACAAAAGCTTCGAGTGTTGCTGGTGCAGTGTTGTCTGTCCTCTTGTCTACTACTGTCCACACGGTCGCTCAGGAAATTTTGCCCCCCCCCAAAAAAGCACCCCTTTTATGCATTATGTGACTGTCATATGAAAAGTCTCATAGCATAATAAATGAATTTGGAGTCTTTGTCATCTAAAATATCTGCTGAAGAGGGTCCCAGAAGGGGATCGAAATATACAGATTAATCAATATTTTGAGTTTCTGTCGTAAGAAGGTTATAAGAACATAAGAATTATTGAGTATTAAAAAGTGTTTATTGTACTTAAGTTATTTATGATTCATTAACTAATTTCTTAGCTTTTAATTACGAGACACCGATTAATCTTGTTCCCAAATAATTCAACTCTACCGTGATGTGTTGATGTATTCCTGTTTGTCCTGTTTGATGTACAAATAGTGGGTTAGCGACTGATTGGTGCACCTCGATTAGCCCCTAAATATTGTCCAACAGTTTAGGGTTACTCTAATTGGTACCAAAGTTTTTAGTCTACTCCTGTGTGATGTACAATACGGTATGCACTGATCTGTACACCAGTTTCACATAAGACAAGATTACGTTGGGATTTACCCCGGGTGTTCCACACCAAGGATAACCCAAAGAAAATGTTCAGTGCCCCGTCCAGTGCGTACGAGGACTGTCTAACTTATTTCCATTGGGGTCCTTAATCTTGTCCCCCAGGATGCGACCCACACCAGTCGACTAACACCCAGGTACCTATTTGCTGCTAGGTGAACAGGACAACAGGTGTAAGGAAACGTGTCGGAATGTTTCCACCCGCCGGGAATCGAACCCGGGCCCTCTGTGTGTGAAGCGGGAGCTTTAGCCACCAGGCTAAGTAAGGAGGTTTTCTGGTCTCGCTGTTATCAGCAAAATAAACCCGATTGTCAATAAATCCCTTCGTCTGACTCTTCTTTAGGGTTATAAGTAACTGAGACTTATGTTACTATGTATGATAAGTGTAGTCTGGTAAAACTTGTGTGTCTGTACTTATGTGTAGCTGTATAAACTTTATTCTGTCGATTCTGGATAAGGAAGGCAAGATGTGGGGAACACACAGCCATGTTGATGTGATGATGTGGAGTGGTGGCTGCTATGAGGTTATCTGATGCTAAATGCTGAATTGTTACTCACATATTTATACATAATTATGGGCCCTGGAGACAAATGGTTTTTAGGATTTGACGTGCTGTTGGAGTGGGAGCAAAGTAACATTTATGAAGGGATTCAGGGAAACCGGCAGGCCGGACTTGAGTCCTGGAGATGGGAAGTACAGTGTCTGCACTCTGAAGGAGGGGTGTTAATGTTGTAGTTTTATAACTGTAGTGTAGGCGCCTCTGGCAAGACAGTGATGGAGTGAATGATGGTGAAATCTTGTTTTTTTCGGGCCACCCTGCCACACCTTGGTGGGAAGCTGCCGATGTGTTAATAAATAAAAAATATAGGCCCTGATATTAGGTCACGCCAATTCTCCATCCTCCTCAACCTCCCTGGACATGAAATTGATGGTACTTTTTGCAACTAGACCGGGAAATGTTATGTTCCACATTAGGACGTAATCAGAATGCATTATTTCTTAATCTGGAGATTGATTTATTTTCCCAAGTCGAGTGATATAATGGTTGACCGGATGGAATTCCTTGGTGGGCCGGATATGGCCCATGGGACGTGTTGTGCCTTACACCACCATCACATAAATATTGTACTGTGATGTTTACGTGGCTGAATTCATTGTAGGTGTGAGAATGATAATGATGAAAAATGTCATTATTAAGAAGGACAGCAGCAATAACAACAACAACAACAACAACAACAACAACAAACAAGGCTTTAATGGGATTACTAACCCTTGTGGGTTAGTAAGCCGGGATAGTTCATAAAAGCCAAGCCGTGTAGCTTATTCCTACTGGGGGTTCTTTGATCCCCTTCCTCAGGATGCTCCCCCTACCTGTTGGCTGGGATCTAGCCCCGGATCCTTCGTTTGTGAGCTGCAGGTGCTACCATCATTGGTGGTGGTGGTGGTGATGGTAGTGGTAGTGGGGTCGAAAGGAGGGGGTGGTGGTGGTGGTGGGGGTGTGACCACCACCACTGATGACTGTACCACACGTGTGTGTGTGTGTGTGGTGGATGGTGGGGTGGGTGGGGAAGGTGGGGAAGGTGGAGTGGGTGGGGAAGGAGGGGGTGGGGACCCTTTGAATAAATCACCCTAACTCTACCCACGACACCTACTCATCACCCCCACTAACGCCCACCAGAATTCCACACCCCCTCACCACCATCAATTACCCCCACTGTTCATGTGAACGACTGTGACATCTATCACTGTGTTGCAGTGTGGCTGTTGATGTGAACTACTGATGAACTGTTTACAAGGGTTCTAAAGGAATGTAAAGAGGAACTTAGCAAACCTTTGGCTAATCTTTTCAACATATCACTACAAACTGGCATGGTGCCAGATAAGTGGAAAATGGCAAATGCAATACCTATTTACAAACCAGGAGACAGGTCCTTAGCTTCAAACTATAGACCAATAAACCTTACCTCCAGAGTGGGAAAATTTATGGAATCAATAACTGAGAAGGCAATTCGTAGCCATCTTGAAAGGCATAAATTGATTAATGAATCTCAACACGGTTTCACAAAGGGGCGTTCCTGTCTTACGAATTTACTAACTTTTTTGCCAAGGTATTTGAGGAGGTAGATCATGGTAATGAATATGATATTGTGTATATGGACTTCAGTAAGGCTTTTGATAAGAGTCTCACATCAGAGGCTATTGAGGAAAATTAAGGCATATAAAAGGACCCCAGTGAAAATAAGTCACTTTGTCTGACTTTTTTGGGTTATCCCAGGTTCTCTACACATATGCTGCTATGTACGACAATCTATTTAACTGTACTTGTGTATACCTGAATAAACTTACACACGTAATAGGAGAAGAAATTTTATCCTGGGCAGAGGCGTGGTTGACAGATAGGCGGCAAAGAGTTGACATCAATGGGGAGAAATCAGAGTAGGGGCGCGTCACGAGTGGTGTTCCACAGGGGTCAGCGTTGGGCCCTTTTTTGTTCACAATTTATATAAACGACTTTAATGAGAGAATAAATAGCGACATCAGCAAGTTTGCTGATGACACCAAAATAGGTCGCCTAATTCATTCTAATGAGGACATTAGAGCACTCCAGGAAGATTTATATAGACTGATGCAGTGGTCGGAGAGGTGGCAGATGCAGCTTAATATTGACAAATGCAAAGTTCTAAATGTTGGACAAGAAAATAACCATGCCACATATAAACTAAATAATGTAGATTTTAAATATTACTGATTGCGAAAAGGATTTGGGAGTTCTGGTTAGCAGTAATCTGAAACCAAGACAACAGTGCATTAGTGTTCGCAATAAAGTGAACAGAATCCTTGGCATCATATCAAGAAGCAAAAATAATAGGAGTCCTTAGGTTGTTCTTCAACTCTATTTGTCTGGATTTTGAACCCTACTGGCTCAAAATCCAGACAAATCTTATCTTATCTAATACCTGCTATTTATTTTCCCAACACTAACAACCTTCCTCCCCACACAGGGACGGTGGTGCGAGTCCGCAGGAAGGCAGCGGACTTGACGCTGTTATGGCCAGATGCTGTGGTCCCTTATACCTTCCTGGCCCGTCAGTATAGCAGTAGTGGTGGTACTAGTAGTAGTAGTAGTCGTGGTAGTAGTAGTAGTAGTGCTAGTAGCAGTAGTAGTATTACTAGTATTAGTAGTATTAGTAGACAGCAACCACCCAGGGAAGTACTACCGTCCTGCCAGATGACTGTGAAACAAAAACCTGTAACTGTTTTGCATGATGGTAGGATTGCTGGTTTCTTTTTCTGTCTCATAAACACGCTAAGATAACAGGGATATCTTGCTACTCCTACTTACACTTTGGTCACACTTCACAGACACGCACATGCATATATATATATACATACATCTAGGTTTTTCTCCTTTTTCTAAATAGCTCTTGTTCTTTTTTATTTCTTCTATTGTCCATGGGGAAGTGGAAAAGAATCTTTCCTCCGTAAGCCATGGGGTGTCGTATGAGGCGACTAAAATGCCGGGAGCAATGGGCCCAGTAACCTCTTCTCCTGTATACAATTACTTAAAAAAGAAAGAAGAAAACTTTATAAAACTGGGTTGCTTAAATGTGCGTGGATGTAGTGCGGATGACAAGAAACAGATGATTGCTGATGTTATGAATGAAAAGAAGTTGGATGTCCTGGCCCTAAGCGAAACAAAGCTGAAAGGGGTAGGAAAGTTTCAGTGGGGGGAAATAAATGGGATTAAATCTGGAGTATCTGAGAGAGTTAGAGCAAAGGAAGGGGTAGCAGTAATGTTAAATGATCAGTTATGAAGGAGAAAAGAGAATATGAATGTGTAAATTCAAGAAATTATGTGGATTAAAGAAAAGGTTGGATGCGAGAAGTGGGTCATAATAAGCGTGTTCCCTGGAAAAGAGAATGCAGGGGAGAGAGAGAGATTTTGGGAGATGTTAAGGAATGTATGGGGCCCTTTGAACCAAGTGAGGAGTAATTGTGGGGGGGTTTGAATGCTAAATGGGGAGAAATTTTAGAAGGGTTGGTAGGAAGTTGGGGTGCCAGGTGTAAATAAAATGGGCCCTTTTGTTTGAACTTTGTATAGAAAGGGGGTTTTTTTATAGGAATACATATTTAAAAAAAGAGGGTAAATAAGTATACCGATATGATGTAGGGGGAAATGCAGTATTTGTTGGGTTATGATTGGGAGATAAAACGTTTTGGAGACTTCAGGATGCATGTTTTTAGAGGGGCCCACAGATATATCAATCACTTTCTAGTTTAGCTACACTGAGAGTAAAAGGTAGATGGAAAAAGGAGAATAGAAACATCAGGGAAGAGAGAGGTGAATTTTTATAAACTAAAAGAGGAGGCATTAGGGTAAATATAAACAGCTTTTGGGAGGATAGGGGGCTAATAGAGCATAGGCAAGGGGGTCGAAGAGGTAGGGGTGGGTTTTTAAAAATGTATTTAATGTTCACAAAGTTTGGGGTTTAAAAGGAAAGTGGGTGCGGGAGGGAAGGGGAGCGATTGGGGAAGATGATGTAAAGAGAGTAGTAAGGGAAAAAGTTAGCATATGAAATTTTTTTTACAAAGTAAAGTATGCAAGGGGAAGAGTATATGGAGAAAAAGAGAGAATTAAAGAGTGGTAAAAAATTTAAAAAAGGGAAGAAAATGAGAGAGTGGGTAGATGTTATCAACAAATTTTGTTGAAAATAAAAAAGTTTTGGAGTGGTTTAACAAGTTAAGAAACCTAGAGAACAAAGGGATTTTCAGTTAAAAATGGGAGAGGAGATTTATTAAATGGAGAGTTAGAGGTATTGGGGAAGATGGAAGAAAATTTTTGGGGAAATTTGTTAAATGTTGATGAAGATGGGGAAGCTGTGATTTCGGTATGGGGAAAGGGATGAATAACATCTTGTAGGAGTGAGGAAGAGCCAGTTGTGAGTGTGGGGGGAAGTTCGTGAGGCAGTAGGTAAAATGAAAGGGGGTAAGGCCGCCGGGATTGATGGGATAAAGATAGAAAATGTTAAAAGCAGGTGGGGATAAGTTTTGGAGTGGTTGGTGCAATTATTTAATAAATGTATGGAAGAGGGTAAGGTACCTAGGGATTGGTAGAGAGCATGCATATTTTCCTTTGTATAAAGGCAAAGGGGATAAAAGAGAGTGCAAAAATTATAGGGGATAAGTCTGTTGAGGGGTACCTGGTAAAGTGTATGGTAGAGTTAAATTGAAAGAATTAAGAGTAAGACGGGAATAGGATAGCAGATGAACAAGGAGGCTTTAGGAAAGGTGGGGGGTGTTTTGGACCAGGGGTTTACAGTGAAACATATAAGTGAACAGTATTTAGATAAGGCTAAAGAGGTCTTTGTGGCATTTATGGATTTGGAAAAGGCGTATGACAGGTGGATAGGGGGCAATGTGGCAGATGTTGCAAGTGTATGGTGTAGGAGGTGGGTTACTGAAAGCAGTGAAGAGTTTTTAACGGGGATAGTGAGGCTCAAGTTAGAGTATGTAGGAAAGAGGGAAATTTTTTCCCAGTAAAAGTAGGCCTTAGACAAGGAGTGTGATGTCACCGTGGTTGTTTAATATATTTATAGATGGGGTTGTAAGAGAAGTAAATGCGAGGTTCTTGCAAGAGGCGTGGAGTTAAAAGATAAAGAATCACACACAAAGTGGGAGTTGTCACAGCTGCTCTTTGCTGATGACACTGTGCCCCTTGGGAGATTCTAAAGAGAAGTTGCGGGAGATTGGTGGATGAATTTGGTAGGGTGTGCAAAAAAGAAAATTAAAGGTGAATACAGGAAAGAGTAAGGTTATGAGGATAACAAAAAGTTAGGTGATGAAAGATTGAATATCAGATTGGAGGGAGAGAGTATGGGGGAGGTGAACGTAATTCAATATTTGGAGTGGACGTGTCAGCGGATGGGTCTATGAAAGATGAGGTGAATCATAGAATTATGAGGGAAAAAGAGTGAGTGGTGCACTTAGGAGTCTGGGAGACAAAGAACTTTGTCCTTGGAGGCAAAGAGGGGAATGTAAAGAGAGATAGTTTTACCAACGCTCTTATATGGGTTGTGAAGCGTGGGTGATGATGTTGCAGCGAGGGGAAGGCTGGAGGCAGTGGAGATGTCATGTCTGAGGGCAATGTGTGGTGTGAATATAATGCAGAGAATTCGTAGTTTTTGGGAAATTTGAGGAGGTGCGGGATTACCAAAACTGTTGTCCAGAGGGCTGAGGGAAAGGGTTGTTGAGGTGGTTCGGACATTAAGAAAATGGAGCGAAACAGAATGACTTCAAGAGTGTATCAGTCTGTAAATGGGAAAGGGAAAGGGGGGGTAGGGGTCGGCCTAGGAAGGGTTTGGGGGAGGGGTAAAGGAGGTTTTGTTTGCGAGGGGCTTGGACTTCCCCGCAGGCATGCGTGAGCGTGTTTGATAGGAGTGAATGGAGACAAATGGTTTTTAAATACTTGACGTGCTGTTTTAGTGTGAGCAAAGTAACATTTATGAAGGGATTCAGGGAAACCGGCAGGCCGGACCCTTTAGTCCTGGAGATGGGAAGTACAGTGCCTGCACTCTGAAGGAGGGGTTTTTAATGTTGCAGTTTAAAAACTGTAGTGTAAAGCACCCTTCCCGGCAAGAAAAGTGAGGAGTGAATGATGGTGAAAGTTTTTTTTTTTTTCGGCCACCCTGCCTTTTTGGGAATCGGCCGGTGTGATAATAAAAAAAAAAAAAAAAATAAAATAATAAAATAATAATAAAAATAAAAAATAAAAATATTTATTAACAATATGAGCAATATAAGACGTTTTTTTGAAAGAATCCTAGCTTCCTCAGTTCTGCAGGAGCCTCCTGAGGAAGTCTAGCTTCCCATTTTCTGCAGGAGCCTCCTGCAAAAGTCAACTTCCTCATTTTCGCTAGGAGCCCCGCAGGAAGTCAGCTTCCTCATTCTGCTAGGACCCCTGCAGGAAAGTCCTAGCTTCCCAGTTCTGCTAGGACCTCCGCGGAAGTCTAGTTTCCCCCCCATTTTCTGCAGGAGCCTCCTGCAGGAAGTCTAGCTTCCTCATTTCTGCTGGGAGCCTCCGCAGGAACCCAGTTTCCCCCAGTTCGCTAGGAGCCTCCTGCGGAATCACTTCCCCCCCAGTTCTGCTAGGAGCCTCCTGCGGAAGTCTAGCCCCCCCAGTTCTGCTAGACCTCCTGCAGGAAGTCTAGTTTCCCCCTCATTTGCAAGGGGGACCTCCTGAGGAAGTCAGCTTCCTCAGTTTGCTAGAGCCTCCTGCAAAGCTAGCTTCCCCAGTTCTGCTAGAGCCCCTGCAGGAAGTCTACTTCCTCATTCTGCTAGGAGCCTCCGCAGGAAGTCTAGTTTCCCCCCAATTCTGCTAGGACCTCCTGCAGGAAGTCAAAAGCTCCTCAGTTCTGCTAGGACCCCTGCAGAAGTCTCTTCCTCTTCTGCTAGAGCCTCCTGCAGGAAGCCCCTAGCTTCCTCATTTCTGCTAGGAGCCTCCTGCAGGAAGTCTAGCTTCCCCAGTTCCTAGGAGCCCCGCAGGAAGCTACTTCCTCGTTCGCAGGGCCCCGCAGGAAGTCTATTTTCCCCAGTTCGCTGGGAGCCTCCGCAGGAAGTCTAGCTCCTCATTCTTCTGGGAGTTTCCTGCAGGAAGTCTAGTTTTCCTCAGTTCTACTGGGAGCCCCGCGGGAATCTAGTTTCCCTCATTTCTGCTGGACCTCCGCAGGAAGTCTACTTCCCCCCCATTCTGCTAGGAGCCCCTGAGGAATCTAGCTTCCCCAGTTCTGCAGGAGCCTCCTGCAGGAATCTAGCTTCCTCAGTTCTACTGGGACCTCCTCGGGAAGTCAGCCCCCCCCGTTCTACGGGAGCCTCCGCGGGAAGTCTAGTTTCCTCATTTCTACAAGGAGCCTCCGCAAAGTCTAGTTTCCCTCATTTTTACAGGAGCCTCCTGCGGGAAGTCTAGCTTCCTCATTTTCTGCAGGAGCCTCCTCGGGAAGCAGTTTCCCTCAGTTCTGCAGGAGCCTCCTGCAGAAGTCATTTCCCATTTCTACTGGGGACCCCCCCGGGAAGTCTAGTTTTCCCCTCATTCTGCTAGAGCCTCCTGCGGGAATCTAGTTTTCCCCATTCTGCTAGGAGCCTCCGCAGGAAGCCCTCTTCCCCATTTTGCTGGGAGCCTCCTGCAGAATTGCTTCCTCATTTCTGCTAGGAGCCTCCTGCAGGAAGTCTAGCTTCCTCATTCTCGGGAGCCTCCTGCAGGAAGTCTAACTCCTCGTTCTGCTAGGACCTCCTGCGGGAAGTCTAGCTTCCTCATTTCTGCAGGAGCCTCCTGCAGGAAGTCAGTTTCCCCAGTTCTGCTTAAGCCTCCGCAGGAAGTCTAGCTTCCTCATTCTGCTAAGCCCCTCAGGAAGTCTAGCTTCCCAGTTCTGCTGGGAGCCCCCCTCAGGAATCTAGTTTCCCCCATTCTGCTAGGAGCCTCCTGCAGGAAGCCCTAGTTTCCCCATTTCTGCTGGGACCTCCTGCAAAGCTACTTCCCCATTCGCTAGGAGCCTCCTAGAAAGTCTAGCTTCCTCATTCTGCGGGACCCTCCTCCCGGAAGCCTGTTCCTCATTCTGCTAGGACCTCCTGCAGAATCTAGCTTCCCCCAGTTCTCTAGAGCCTCCTGCAGGAAGTCTAGCTTCCCCATTCGCTAGGACCTCCGCAGGAAGTCTAGCTTCCCCTTTTCTGTAGGAGCCTCCTGCAGGAAGTCTAGTTTCCTCGTTCTGCAGGAGCCCCCTGCAGGAAGCTAGCTTCCTCAGTTCTGCAGGAGCCCCTGCAGAAGTCTAGTTTCCCCCCCTTCGCTGGGGCCTCCGCGGGAAGTCTACTCCTCAGTTCTGCTAGGACCCTCCTGCGGGAAGTCTAGTTTCCCCATTTCGCAGGACCTCCTGCAGGAATCTAGTTTCCCATTTTCGTTGAGCCTCCTGCGGGAAGTCTATTTCCTCATTTGCTAGGGCCCCTGCGGGAAGTCTAGCTTCCCCCCAGTTTCTGCGGAGCCTCCTGCGGGAAGTCAGCTTCCTCATTCTGCTAGACCTCCTGCAGGAATCAGCTTCCCCATTCTGCTAGGAGCCTCCTGCGGGAAGCTAGCTTCCTAATTCTGCTAGAGCCCCTGCAGAAGTCTAGCTTCCTCATTTCTGTAGAGCCTCCTCGGAATCACTTCCTCATTCTACAGGAGCCTCCGCAGGAAGTCTACTTCCCAGTTCTGCTGGAGCCTCCTGCAGGAATCTAGCTTCCTCATTCTGCAGGAGCCTCCTGCGGGAAGTCTAGCTTCCTCATTTTCTACTAGGAGCCTCCTGCGGGAAGTCAGCTTCCTCAGTTCTGCTGGGACCCTCCTGCAGGAAGTCTAGCTTCCCCATTTCGCTAGGGCCTCCTGCAGGAATCTACTTCCTCATTTTCTGCAGGGCCCCGCAAAGTCTACTTCCCAGTTTTTTTGCTAGGACCCCTGCAGAAGTCTAGTTTCCCTCATTTCTGCTGGGAACCTCCTGCAGGAAGTCTAGCGTCCTCATTCGCTAGGACCTCCTGCAGGAAGTCTAGCTTCCTCATCTGCTAGGACCCTCCCGGGAATCTAGCTTCCCCAGTTCGCTGGGACCTCCTGCAGGAAGTCAGCTCCCAGTTCTGCGGGGAGCCCCTGCGGGAAGTCATTTCCCCCATTCTGCTAGGAGCCTCCTGCAGGAAGTCAGTTTCCCCAGTTCTCTGGACCTCCTGCAGGAATCTACTTCCCCATTTCTGCTAGAGCCCCTGCAGGAATCTAGCTTCCCCAGTTCTGCTAAGCCTCCTGCAGGAGTCTAGCTTCCCATTTCCCGCTAGAGCCTCCCAGGAAGCTAGCTTCCTCATTTCTGCAGGACCTCCTGCGGAAATCTAGCTTCCCAGTTCTGCTGGGACCTCCTGCAGGAAGTCTAGCTTCCCCAGTTCTGCTAGGACCTCCTGCAGGAAGTCTAGTTTCCCCCCCCTTTTCTGCTGGGAGCCTCCTGCAGGAAGTCTAGTTCCCCATTCTGCTGGGACCTCCTGCAGGAAGTCAGTTTCCTATTCTGTAGGACCTCCTCAGGAAGTCAGCTTCCTCATTTCTGCTAGGAGCCTCCTGCAGGAATCACTTCCCAAATTTTTCTGCTGGGAGCCTCCTGCAGGAAGTCAAAGTTTCCTCATTCTGCTAGGACCCCTCCTCGGAAGTCTAGTTTCCCCCAGTACTGCTAGGACCCTCCTGCAGGAATTTTACTTCCTCAGTTCTGCAGGACCTCCTGCGGGAAGTCTAGCTTCCCTCATTTTGCTAGGAGCCTCCGCGGGAAAGTCTAGCTTCCTCAGTTCTCTAGGAGCCCCTGCGGGAATCTAGCTTCCCCATTCTGCAAAGCCCCTGCAGGAAGTCTAGTTTCCCTCATTCTACTGGGACCTCCTGCAGAAGTCTCTTCCCAGTTCTGCTAAGCCTCCTGCAGGAAGTCAAGCTTCCCCCAGTTCTGCTGGAGCTTCCTCCGGGAAGTCTACTTCCTCAGTTCTCTAGGACCTCCTGCAGGAAGCAGCTTCCCAGTTTTCTGCTGGGAGCCTACTGCGGAATCATTTCCCCCCAGTTCGCTGGGACCTCCTGCAGGAATCAGCTTCCCCAGTTCTGCTGGAGCCTCCTGCAGGAAGTCTAGTTTCTCTTTTTCTACTAGGACCCTCCTGCAGGAAGTCTAGTTTCCCCCAGTTCTACAGGAGCCCCTGCAGGAAGTCTACTTCCTCATTTCTACTGGGAGCCCCGCGGGAAGTCACTTCCCAGTTCTACAAGCCTCCGCAGGAAGTCGGCTTCCTCAGTTCTGCTAGGAGCCTCCTGCGGGAAACTACTTCCTCAGTTCTGCTAGGACCTCCTGCGGGAAGTCTAGCTTCCTCAGTTCTACTAGGAGCCTCCTGCAGGAAGTCTGCTTCCTCATTCTGCTAGGACCCTCCTGCAGGAATCAAAGTTTCCCCCAGTTCTGCTGGGACCTCCTGCAGGAAGTCTAGCTTCCCCAGTTCTGCAGGACCTCCGCAAGAAGCTACTTCCTCTTTGCGGAGCCTCCGCAGGAAGTCTAGTTTCTTTTCATTCTGCTAGGAGCCTCCTGCGGGAAGTCTACTTCCTCAGTTCTGCTGGGGACCCCCTGCGGGAAAGTCTAGCTTCCTCATTTTCTGCTAGGAGCCCCTGCAGGAATCTGCTTCCCCATTCCTGGGAGCCCCTGCGGGAATCTAGCTTCCTTTTTCTGCTAGGAGCCCCTGCAGGAAGTCTAGTTTCCTCATTCTGCTAGAGCCTCCTGCAGGAATCTAGCTTCCCCATTCTGCTAGGACCCTCCTGCGGGAATCTAGTTTCCCCCCAGTTCTGCTAGGACCTCCTCGGGAAGTCAAGTTTCCCCAGTTCTGCTAGGACCTCCTGCAGGAAGTCTAGCTTCCCCGTTCTGCAGGAGCCTCCTCAGGAAGTCTAGCACCCCAGTTCGCTAGGAGCCCCCTGCAGGAAGTCAGCTCCCCTTCTGCTAGGAGCCCCTGCGGGAAGTCAGCTTCCCTATTTCTGCTAGGACCCTCCGAGAAGTCTGCTTCCCCAGTTTTTGCTAGGAACCTCCTGCAGGAAGTTTAGCTTCCCCAGTTCTGCTAGGATCCTCTTGCAGGAAGTCTAGCTTCCCTAGCTGTGCTAGGATCCCTGCGACGTAGCCTAGCCCGTGTTGTTGTGTCCCCTCAGCTGAGCCTGAGAGAGGGGTCGTGTTGAAGGGTGTACAACACTGGGAGCAACACACCTGCCTCAGGTTTCTTCCCGTCAACGACACACAACTGCCACACCTGCAGTTCCGCAAGCTGGCCGGATGCCGCAGTGGGGTCGGCATCGAGGCCGCCAGTGGCCAGAACATCTCCATCGGCGACAACTGTAATAAGGTAAAAAGTGAAGAGAATGAGAGAGAGAGAGAGAGAATGAGAGAGAGAGAGAATGAGAGAGAGAGAGAATGAGAGAGAGAGAGAATGAGAGAGAGAGAGAACGAGAGAGAGAGAGAGAGAGAAGAGAGAGAGAGAGAGAGAGGGGAGAGAGAGAAGAGAGAGAGAGAGAGAGAGAGAGAGAGAGAGAGAGAGAGAGAGAGAGAGGGAGAGGAGGGAGAGAGAGAGAGAGAGAGAGAGAGAGAGAGAGAGAGAGAGAGAGAGAGAGAGAGAGAGAGATTTTGAGACATATATGCATAGTTCCTTTGTATAAAGGAAAAGGGGGATAAAAGAGAGTGCAAAAATTATAGGGGATAAGTCTGTTGAGTGTACCTGGTAAAGTGTATGTAGAGTTATAATTGAAAGAATTAAGAGTAAGACGGAGAATAGGATAGCAGATGAACAAGGAGGCTTTGGGAAAGGTAGGGGGTGGGGTGGACCAGGTGTTTACAGTGAAACATATAAGTGAACAGTATTTAGATAAGGCTAAAGAGGTCTTTGTGGCATTTATGGATTTGGAAAAGGCGTATGACAGGGTGGATAGGGGGGCAATGTGGCAGATGTTGCAAGTGTATGGTGTAGGAGGTAGGTTACTGAAAGCATGAAGAGTTTTTACGAGATAGTGAGGCTCAAGTTAAGTATGTAGGAAAGAGGGAAATTATTTCCCAGTAAAAGTAGGCCTTAGACAAGGATGTGTGATGTCACCGTGGTTGTTTAATATATTTATAGATGGGGTTGTAAGAGAAGTAAATGCGAGGGTCTTGGCAAGAGGCGTGGAGTTAAAAGATAAAGAATCACACACAAAGTGGGAGTTGTCACAGCTGCTCTTTGCTGATGACACTGTGCTCTTGGGAGATTCTGAAGAGAAGTTGCAGAGGTTGGTGGATGAATTTGGTAGGGTGTGCAAAAGTAGAAAATTAAAAGTGAATACAGGAAAGAGTAAGGTTAATGAGGATAACAAAAAGATTAGGTGATGAAAGATTGGATATCAGATTGGAGGGAGAGAGTATGGAGGAGGTGAATGTATTCAGATATTTGGGAGTGGACGTGTCAGCGGATGGGTCTATGAAAGATGAGGTGAATCATAGAATTGATGAGGGGAAAAGGGTGAGTGGTGCACTTAGGAGTCTGTGGAGACAAAGAACTTTGTCCTTGGAGGCAAAGAGGGGAATATATGAGAGTATAGTTTTCCCAACGCTCTTATATGGGTGTGAAGCATGGGTGATGAATGTTGCAGCGAGGAGAAGGCTGGAGGCAGTGGAGATGTCATGTCTGAGGGCAATGTGTGGTGTGAATATATTGCAGAGAATTCGTAGTTTGGAAGTTAGGAGGAGGTGCGGGATTACCAAAACTGTTGCCCAGAGGGCTGAGGAAGGGTTTGTTGAGGTGTTCGGACATGTAGAGAGAATGGAGCGAAACAGAATGACTTCAAGAGTGTATCAGTCTGTAGTCGAGGAAAGGCGGGGTAGGGGTCGGCCTAGGAAAGGTTGGAGGGAGGGGGTAAAGGAGGTTTTGTGTGCGAGGGGCTTGGACTTCCAGCAGGCATGCGTGAGCATATTTGATAGGAGTGAATGGAGACAAATGGTTTTTAATTCTTGACGTGCTGTTGGAGTGTGAGCAAAGTAACATTTATGAAGGGGTTCAGGGAAACCGGCAGGCCGGACTTGAGTCCTGGAGATGGGAAGTACAGTGTCTGCACTCTGAAGGAGGGGTGTTAATGTTGCAGTTTAAAAACTGTAGTGTAAAGCACAATTCTGGCAAGACAGTGATGGAGTGAATGATGGTGAAAGTTTTTCTTTTTCGGGCCACCCTGCCTTGGTGGGAATCGGCCAGTGTGATAATAAAAAAAATAAAAAAAAATATGTGGTGACTCTTGTGTGTGTCTTATGTGATTCGTATGTGACAATTGTATTTCTCCTGTGTTCGACGTGACCCTGTGTTCTTGCCCAGGTGGGCATCGTGGTTCACGAGATTGGGCATGCCATTGGTTTCTACCACGAGATACGTCGTCCTGACCGGGACGACCACGTTGTCGTTAACGAGAACAACATCCTCAAGAACGAACTCTTCAACTTCTACAAGCTTCACTGGCTCGATGTCTCCATCAAGTACGACCTGTCCTCCGTCATGCACTACCACACACTGGTGAGTCTCCATCAAGTACGACCTGTCCTCCGTCATGCACTCCACACACTGGTGAGTCTCCATCAAGTACGACCTGTCCTCCGTCATGCACTACCACACACTGGTGAGTTTCCATCAAGTACGACATGTCCTCCGTCATGCACTACCACACACTGGTGAGTCTCCGTCAAGTACGACCTGTCCTCCGTCATGCACTACCACACACTGGTGAGTCTCCATCAAGTACGACCTGTCCTCTGTCATGCACTACCACACACTGGTGAGTCTCCATCAAGTACGACCTGTCACTCGTCATGCACTACCACACACTGGTGAGTCTCCATCAAGTACGACCTGTCCCCCGTCATGCACTACCACACATTGGTGAGTCTCCGTCAAGTACGACCTGTTCCCTGACTGGATCAATACCCAAATTACCCAAACATGAGAGATGAGGTTACCACGACGTGTCAGTTGGACTTGGACCATTTACAAAGTCACAGTAACTTTGTAAATGGTCCGAGTCGGACCGGAACTTCGTCGTAAGCTCCTTCTATGTGCGGGTTATATGTATATAGACTGCTAACTACTGTGATTGCAGGAGTGGACTGCTAACGAGCGGACGACGGTGGCTACGCGCGACCCGACGTTGCAAGGACTGATAGGACTGTGGAAGCAGGAGTCGAGCCGAGGTCTCTCCCACAGAGACAAACTCCTGGCCAACACAGTCTATGGCTGCCTTGGTCAGTACCTCCCTCACTCTACACCCTCTTGTATTGAACAAATCAACAAATTTATAAATAAAAGCCTAGATTTTCCCCTAGCTTGTCCTTAGACGTGGCCAACCTTGTCCTTAGACGTGGCTAAGCTTGTCCTTAGACGTGGCTAAGCTTGTCTTTAGACTTGGCTAAGCTTGCCCCTAAGCTTTCATATCGCCCTGTTCACACACACGAATATTAATGTATATAATAAAATATATTGAAAATCTAAATATTTTACATATGAGAGAGTTTGTTGTTTCGCTATATTTTATGGCCACCGTCTTCTGGCCACTGTCTTCTGGCCACTGTCTTCTGGCCACTGTCTTCTGGCCACCGTCTTCTGGCCACTGTCTTCTGGCCACTGGCTTCTGGCCACTGTCTTCTGGCCACTGTCTTCTGGCCACTGGCTTCTGGCCACTGTCTTCTGGTCACTGGCTTCTGGCCACTGGCTTCTGGTCACTGGCTTCTGGCCACTGGCTTCTGGCCACTGTCTTCTGGCCACTGTCTTCTGGTCACCGTCTTCTGGCCACTGTCTTCTGGCCACTGTCTTCTGGCCACCGTCTTCTGGCCACTGTCTTCTGGCCACTGCTTCTCCTGGCCACTGCCTTCTGGCCACTGTCTTCTGACCACTGCCTTCTGGCCACCGTCTTCTGGCCACTGTCTTCTGGCCACTGTCTTCTGGCCACTGCCTTCTGGCCACTGTCTTCTGGCCACTGCCTTCTGGCCACTGTCTTCTGGCCACTGCCTTCTGGCCACTGTCTTCTGGCCACCGTCTTCTGGCCACTTCTTCTGGCCACTGTCTTCTGGCCACTGCCTTCTGGCCACTGTCTTCTGGCCACTGCCTTCTGGCCACTGTCTTCTGGCCACTGCCTTCTGGCCACTGTCTTCTGGCCACTGTCTTCTGGCCACTGCCTCTGGCCACTGTCTTCTGGCCACTGGCTTCTGGCCACTGTCTTCTGGCCACTGTCTTCTGGCCACTGTCTTCTGGCCACTGTCTTCTGGCCACTGTCTTCTGGCCACTGGCTTCTGCCACTGTCTTATGGCCACTGTCTTCTGGCCACTGTCTTCTGGCCACTGGCTTCTGGCCACTGTCTTCTGGCCACTGTCTTCTGGCCACTGTCTTCTGGCCACTGTCTCTGACCACTGTCTTTTGGTCACTGTCTTCTGGCCACTGGCTTCTGGCCACTGTCTTCTGGCCACTGGCTTCTGGCCACTGGCTTCTGGCCACTGGCTTCTGGCCACTGCCTTCTGGCCACTGCCTTCTGGCCACTGTCTCCTGGCCACTGCCTTCTGGCCACTGGCTTCTGGCCACTGTCTTCTGGCCACTGCCTTCTGGCCACTGTCTTCTGACCACTGCCTTCTGGCCACTGTCTTCTGGCCACTGTCTTCTGGCCACTGTCTTCTGG